GAAAGGGGTAGCTAGGTGGCGCAGTGAATAGAGTTATGGCCTTGGAGTCAGGAGGACCTGAATTCAAATCCAGCCTCAGACACTTAACACTTACTAGCTGTGTGACCCTTGGCACGTCACTTAACCCTGATCGCCTCACCAAAAAGCAAACAAACAAACAAAAAAAGCAAAAGCCATAGAAAGATATACAAAGGGTATAGATTCTGGCCAATGTCTTTAGCCCATCTCACCATCCTTGGATGAAGCCTTTATTCTGCCACTGAAGACAGAGGAAAAGGAGGAAGCATCCCTATTAACACTGAGTTTGAGGATGATTGACAGTCATACACTGTGGTTATACTTTAGATATAACCTTTAAAAGCAAGAGCAGACACAAAAATGAAGAGAACAGAATTGAGAGGAGCCTCACAAATTGGATTCTGTTACCTGGAGGGGGCAGCTAGGTAGATAGAGCAGTAGGCCTAGAGTCAAGAAGATCCAAGTTCAAATTCAGCCTCAGACACTTATAAATTGTGTGACCCTGGGCAAATCACTTAATCCTGTTTGCCTCAATTTCCTCATCTGCAAAATGAGCCTGAGAAGGAAATGACAAACCATTCCAGTATCTTTGCCAAGAAAATCCCAAATGGGATGAGGAAGAGTCAGACACAACTGAAAAATGACTGAACAGCACCATCACCTAGAGGGAAAGCCTGTGGATCTTTGAAGCCTTTCTGTGGAACTATGAAACAGTCCGTAGGTCCTGAGATGGCTGAGGCTGGAGGCAGTGGTAGAGCAGCCAGGAACCAGCTTGGAGTTTCAGAATGAGTCTGTATCAGTGACAGGAGGAGTTCCTGGACCACACTGAGTTCTCTGAGATTCTTGCAAAGGAGAGGACTAGTTCCTGGATGCCAAGTATAAAGGTTATAAGGTTAAGCAGGAGCTAAGGATTATCAAGAAGCAGCCACGAGTTGAAGAAGCAAAGTCAGACTTTGCCCATTCGATAATCCTGTCAGACAAGGAGGTAGACTGTATAGGTCCAAGAAGGTTGAATCTAGTAACCACAGGTGCTTTCTTTTTGCAGGGTAACTCAACCCTACAGTACTGTTACTATTGTTATCACTACTACTACTACTGCTGCTAGCATTTATGTTGTTCTTTAAAGTTTGCAAAATGCTTTAAAATTGTCTCATTCATGATCACAACTCGGGGAGGTCTCCCTGTCTTACAGACAATGAAACTGAAGGAAAGGTTAAATGACTTGTCCAGGGTCATACAGCTAGTATGTATCAGAGGCTGGATTCGAACTTAGGTTTTCCTGACTCCAGGCCCAGCACTTTATCCGTTGTGGTATAGTTCCTCAGGAAAGCTGAGGCCCATTTGGAGAAAGAAAGCAAGGAATGATTTGAATGTTCATGGGCTTGGGTTGTTACTCCTTTCTGTTTTGAGGTTTTTGGCTGGGTTTGATAAATTTTGATACATTGTAAGCCTGAGTGCTTGAATGGGAGCAGAAAGTCTTTTTGTGCTTTTCTGGAGATGTGGAGTATTTTGGAGTGGGGTACTTAGAACTGGGGGAGTCAGAAGAGGTGTTTTTTTTTAAGGATGTAGCATTGGAGCTGAGCCTTCGTTGAAGGGAGTTGCAAGGGGTTCCCACAGGTAAGGAGGGCAAACATCCTAGATTAAGAGGTGGGGATGGGGCAGAGATGGAGAAGGAATATCCCATCTAGAGAAAACCAGATAGTCCGGTTTGGCTTCAGGGAAGCGTATACAGTGTGTGAGGGACAGTGGCGTGTACTTGGTCTGCACAGATGGATTGTAGGCTAATTGCAAAGGGATTTAACTGCCAGAAAGAATTCACTTTATCCTAAAGGCAATAGGGAGTACCTGAAGCTTCTAGAACAGAGGAGCGACTGGCACTCCCAGGGACGTGGCATCATGACACTGCATCCCTGGCCATCCTTTCCACTACTGCTCTTCTAGTTCCTGGAGTCTGACTACCACTTACCACCATTGCCATTTCCAGATTCTCCCTCTCTTTAACTTCTACTCAGCAACTTCTCATTTAGATTCATGCCAGCAAATTTATCCCTCGATTCAGATCCTAGTGGCAATTACATGCCCATTACATTCTCCTTTCTCTGAGTGTTCAGTACTTGGCTAATAGTATTTATTCCTAGCCTTATTATCGCCTTTATACTAAGAGACTTCAACATATCATAAAAGTGTTCTTTCAAACACCCTAACCTTTCAGCTTACTAATCTATTAAACTCCCAGGACTTACTTCTCTGCTGCACCTAGACCATGGACAGGAGATGGTCACAATCTTGACTTTATCATTGCCCTTTAGGGTTCTATTCCAGGATAAAGAACTCTGAAATTCCTCTTATGTCATCATAATCCCCTTTCATTCCGTCTTTCTCTGTGCCTCTCGGCTCCTAAACTGATTCTTTACCCTCACCTTGACTGATGTCTAATTCTCTTTGGCTCAGTACTTTTCGAGGTCTCTAGGAAATCTTCCTTCCTATCCTTTAGTACTTTCTAAATACCAAGGTATTTGCAGCTTATCCCTTTCCAGTCTTAATTCTTTTAGTCAATAAGTCCCCGCTCCTCTAACCTCTTGCCTTCTTCCTTGTTCACCCTAGTGCTAAAGTATTCTTACTATCCTGCCTGTTACCTACTCAGGGGGGAGCAGGAAAGGGAATGAAGAATTTATATAGTACCTACTATGTGCCAAGAACCTTGCTAAGTGCTTTACAAATATTATTTCATGTATCGTTGACAACAACTCTTCAAAGTAAGTGCTGTTATTATCCTCACTTTACAGTTGAAGAAACTGGGGCACATCGGCTTGCCTTGTCAGGTCACGTGACTTCCTCTAGTCACACAGCTAGAGAGTGTTTGAGGCTTGATTTCAATCCAGGTCCAACACCCTATTTCACATGCTTCTGTTTTCAGCTGGAGAAAGTCACTTAACTTTGCTGACTGGGTCGGGGTGCAAATTTTTATTATCTCAATTCAACTGCCCTCACTGCAGCTGGTGGGGTGGAGGGTATGACTTTTACTCCTCTTTAATTGATTTTCTTTTCCATTTACCACAACAGCAATTCTAAACCTTTTCTCTCCTACAGCTTTTTTCATTGTATCTCCCCCCCCATATTTTCATTTGAAGGCCATTCATAGTTAGGTGTCCCTTTTCCTCCCTGCCTGCTTGTCTCACAACCCTTGATATCATCCCCAGTATTATCTTCTTTTATTTAGTCTTTTTTTTGGGGGGGGTTGTCTTTTGGCTAGGCAATGGGGTTAAGTGACTTGCCCAGGGTCACACAGCTAGTAAGTGTCAAGTAGTTGGTCTGAGGTCACATTTGAACTCAGTTCCTCCTGACTTCAGGGCCGGTGCTCTATCCACTGCGCCACCTAGCTGCCCCTATTTAGTCTTGTCTTGTATTCTTTCCCCTAGCAATCCACTCTACTGGTACTTTGATTCTAACCCTGCCACTCTTCTCTAATAGATTGTCCCCACTTATTATTCACTCCCTCCTACTAATTATCTTCAGTCTGTCTCTTGATACCTTCCCAGTTGCCTACAAACAACCCCAATGAGAGCTGATTGGGAGAGAGATGGAAAGAGGGAGAAGGTGTGGAAGAGAGAGGGAGAGAAAGAGAGGGGGAGAGAGAGAGAGAGAGAGAGAGAGAGAAGAGAGAGAGAGAGAGAGAGAGAGAGAGAGAGAGAGAGAGAGAGAGAGAGAGAGAGAGAGAGAAGAGAGAAGAGAAAGAAAGGCCCAGGACAGAACCCTGGGTACAGTCACACATAAGGGTTGGGACATGGATGATAAACCCTCAAAGGAAACAGAAAGACTGCTGACAGATAGTAAGGGAACCGTGACAAAATAATATCATGAAAACTTAGAGAAAGGATCCAGAAAGAAAGGCTGTAATCAGTAATGTCAAATGCTTCAGAGAGGTCAGTGAGGCTGACAGTGGAGATGAAGCCAATGGATTTAGCAATAGAGAGATCATTAGTAACCACGGAGAGAGAAGTTTCAGTGGAATGATGAGGATGGAAGCCAGACTGAAAGCAGAGGCAAAAAGTGGAAACAGCTTTTCTAGGGTTTTGCCTGTAAAGAGATGAAGAGCTGTGCCGTAATAGCTGGGAGGTAGGGGGGGGATAGTGTAGGATCAAGTGAAAGTTTTTGGTTTTAATAGAGGATGTTTGTAGGCAGTAGAGAAAGAATCCGGGGATAAGCAGAGACATAGTTGATTCCTGCCCACAACCTCTCCTCCCCTGCTTATTAAGAACAACCATTATTAAAAAAAAAAAAAAAGCACCCCCCCCAACCTGCCCCAAACAAAAATAACGAAAACCTGTTATTGAATCAGGCACTGTGCTAAGCTCTGGGTATACTAAAAGAGGCACCAGGCGGGCCACGGGAATGGGTAGGACATCAATAGGGTTGTCTGCAAACGAAAAACGGCTAGGACCTCAGAGTGATATCGTTCACTCGCTTTCCACCTCTACTGAGTTTTGGTTTCATGTCCGAGTCTTGTCAACATTACTCAATACCATAGCCTTCTTACTTCTCTTAGCAATTTGAGCCCTACTGCTAGGGAAGGAGAGGGCCAGTGTGTGTTTCCAGGAGGCTGTGGCTTTGGGGGTTACACAGCTGCAGGCTGAGACCTTGGGCTCACCCGGACCCTCAGAGAAAAAGGTATTTGTCTTTCGGGTCATCCCGATGACCCATTTAGCGCCCGGGGGCGTTTGAGTGCCGCGGTCCAGCGTCGGTAAGAACTTCTAGGGTGAGGTGGCGTGGCTCAGAGCTAGGATCTTTCCTCCCAGCCCCCGCCCCCAGGTTCCTGAGGCTGGGCTGGGCTGGGAAGGGCAGGACTGTGTAGGGATTGACGTCGGGTTTTGGCAGACGAACAGGCGGGGCTCGGTGCTCGATGCAGCCCTGGCCCTGACAAGGCGACACCCTGTTGCTCTGCAAACTATCTACCCCTCTCCCCTGGTAAGATGCACCGGGTCGGCGACCGCTAACTCGGAGGGAAATTTGGCAGGGGGATTCTACACTCTCCAGGAAGACGGATCTCATCCCTTCGGGCTGGGCTGTCATCCCAACTCCGCCCCCTTCCCACTAGAGCCAAAGCCCTGGGGATTCGAACTGTGTTTTTATTCCCCCTCTGAGGGGCCACTCAGTTTGCCTGGGCGGGAGCTTGGGACGGAGGAGCAGGTGTTTCATTTAGGTACCGGTTAAACTTGATTTCTTTTCTCCAGAGTGCTTAGCTATTGCTGGTCTCTTATCTTTACCCTTCTTTGGGGAGCTTCTGACCTGGGCAGAGTGCTGAGAACAGGGATTTGGGCTGAAGCATTTATGCTATTCTGTTGCGGTTTGTGTTTACAAGCTTTCTGTGCTGGCTTTAAGTTTTAAACAGGCAGAGAGCAAGGACCGTGTTCCTCAGGCTCAGTAGTGTTAATTACACAAACTGTAAGAAGCGCAACACTTCTCCCTGATAATCTAGAGGTCTGATGCTGTAATATAAGAGTCAAGAGTTCCTGGAGTTCCAACAGGGTAGAGTTGCAGACTCATATAGAACAGTGTGTTGGTAGCAGTTGGGAAAAATAGCAGCATGTGTGTGTGTGTGTGTATGAATGTATGTGGGGGGCGAGTGAGGGTAAGGGTGGGGTCAGCTGCATCTTGGTGTAGTGGAGAGAGCTTTGGATGCCTCAAATACTTCCCAGTCTTGTGACTTTGAGCAAGATACCTAACTTCCCCCAGCCTCCGTTTTCTTCATCAGTAAAATGGGGATGATAATAGTCTACCTCATTAGGTCCTTGCAAAGATAAATGAGATAATATACATAAAACATCTTGCAAATCTGAAAATGCTGTATAAATAAATGTTAGCTGTTATTTTTGAAAGTACAAGGAGCCTGGCTAGGTACTGGAAAGATAGAATTAGCAACTTTTTGGACTCTTTCTGTTTGCTCTCCATATTGGTTGCCTAATTTGAGATTGGCCATCCCTGAATGAGTGGAAGGTGATCTTGGCTGTACTCTGGTAGCAAGAGACAGCTCATGGACTTAGAGTCAGTAGGGAAATGTCTTTGAATTCTACACACTTCCTCCATGATCAAGAGCAAATCATTCAACCTCTTTGCTCCTCCTTCTTTATCTGTAAAATGAACATAATATTTATAGTGGGTTTATGGTGCATTCAGTTGTTTCAGTCATGTCTGACTCTTCATGACTCACTTTGTGTTTTTTTTTTGAGGCAATCAGGGTGAACTGACTTGCCCAAGGTCACACAGCTAGTAAATGTCTGAGGAGAGCTTTGAACTTGGAAAGAAGATGACTCTTTTTGACTCCAGGCCTGGGCACCACTGCAATACCCAGCTGCCACAATGTTTCATAACCTAAAAAAAAAAAATCTAAATCTGTTTACAATGGAGTAAGTATCTTCTGGTAAGAAAATTCCCTCTATCAGTGCAGTTCAACAACTGTTCTGAAGCTTAAAGTCTTTTTAAAAAATTTATTTCCCCTCAATTACATGTTAAAACAATTTTTAAAATAAAGTTTTGAGTTCCAGAGGGTCCAGAATACTAAGAGGTTCACTGCTTTGCTCAGGATCACACAGCCAGTAAGCGGCAGAGGCCTGACAGCCAGAGTTCTCCAGTCCATCTAGCCTCAGAGAGGGCTTATATTTCAGATATAACTAACTGTGCCCACCAACTGAGCAGAAACTTTTAGATCCAGCAGTTGGTCCTATTAAGCAATCTATACCTCTTTCCTTCTTTCTCTCTAAATAATTCTAAATAGAGAAAAGAACCAACTGGAAGCATTTGTGTTTTGAGAGGGAATGGTTGCTTTTAGCTGCTTAAAAACAAAACAAAACAAAACAAAGCTGAAAAGACTAGTGGCTTGGGAGCTGACAGCTTTAATTTTGTGTTGCTTTTTTTGGGAGGGGACAGGGAGGGTCCCTGAGAGGCATAATGTGGTGGAGTGGATCTAAGATCTGCCTTGAAGCCAGGAAGACCTCTATTCAAATCTTGTCTCTGTCATGTATTCACTGTGTGACCCTGGGCAAGTCATTTAACTTTCCAATGTCCTAGGCAACTCTTCTCATAATATAAATGAAGGTGATGACCTGCATTGGCAGAGGAAGTTTCATCATCCAGCGGCACCCTGTGCCATAAAATCACAGGATCAATCCCTTTCTATAGTCCTAACAAATGTTTAAATAGAAGTGGGAGTCCAGAGGGCTGCAGCTGAGCTGGGTCACATGTAGGATGATCTAGAGAGTCTGACAGGGGGAAAAAAACAACGTGTTGATAGAAAACCCACATTCCATGCTAGGACTATTTCCCGCTTCTATCTTGTGTTTTTAAGCTAGTTAATCCTATGAGTTATAACACAGGAAGTGGCTTCTAAGGCATGAGGCCAGGCTCATGACACAGGGTTTTGGTGTCCATGGTGTTTCAGCATCCCCTTCCCTTTTTCAATGAACTCTTCTTTAATCCCAAATCTCTTTCCTCCCCATAAACTCCTTCAGGTAGCAATAGAAGTGGGACTGGGCTGCAGATGGGAATGAAACCAGGGTTCTCTCTGCTATTCTTTATTTTTCTCCTTTTAAGTTCATTGGGCTCTAAAGCTTGCATAATCCAAGGAATGTTGGCAGGGGAAGGAGAGAAAGCATTTGGGAAGAAGAAAAAACAAGAGTTCAGTTAGCACCTCCTGTAGTGGTGAAATTTGCGAAAGTGGCCTAAAGTGGGGGGAAAGGAACTGGAGAAAGAGATCATTGCTCAAGATAAGTGTCTGCAATGTGCAGAGCACCGGCCCTGAAGTCAGGAAGACCTAAGTTTAAATCTGACCTCAGACATTTTCTGGTTGTGTGACCTTGGGCAAGTCACTTAACCCCAATTGCCTCAAAATTTAAAAGAGAAAGTATCCGGAGGTGATTCTCAAATGAGAGGTTCTCACTTATTTCAGACCAATCAACAAGTATTTATTAAATGCTTTCTATGTGCCAAGTAAGGGGCAGCTAGGTGGTGCAGTGTATAGATTGACAGGCCTGGAGTCAGGAAGACTTCTCCGTAAGAAACTTTTGTTCCTGGTTGCTTGTTATTCAGCCATGTCTACCTCTTCGGGACCCCATTTGGGGTTTTCCTGGCAAAGATACTGGAGTGGTTTTCCATTTCCTTCTCCAGCTCATTTTACAGGTGAGGAAACTGAGGCAAACAGGGTAAAGTGACTTGCCCAGGGTCACACAACCAGGAAATGTCTGGGGTCAGATTTGAACTTAGGTCTTCCTGATTCCATCTAGCTGCCAAGGAGCGTTTGGGATAGCTTTAATTGTTAAAAAGGTTTTTACTTATCCTGAGCCTAAATCAAACTCATTCTATCCTTAAGGGCCAAGCAGAAAAAGTCTAATCCATCTTCCACAGGACAGCTGTGTGCTGAGGCCTCTAGAGATAGCTTTCTATGTCCTGTTTTTGGTTTCCAAGCAACTTTAACAGAATAGCTCCTGTTGTCTCCAGGGACAAATACTGAGCTCTAGCCTGGATCTTATTTAAGTTTTATATAATCATTTTCTACCAGGGAGAGTCTTTATGCAAGTAACTTGACTGGCTCCAAGAGCAGCAAGCATTTATGTTTTAAGTGAGTGATGTTTTATCATGGCATTTAGAGAGCAGGGAGAGACCTTGAAGATCATCTGGTCCAGCCCCCTTCATTTATAAGATGTGTAAACTGAGGCTCAGAGGAGGTGAGTGAATTCCCATGAAGCAGGAGAGAAGGGGACTTGAACTCCATCTGCTGACTTACCAGGCAATGAGGTACAATAGTGGAAAGTGTACTGGATTTGGAGTCAGAGAACAGGGGGAGGGTGGAGAGGGTGGCTCTACTACTTGTATGACCTGAGGGAAGTCATTTAGCCTTTCTTGGTCTCAGTTTCTCATCTGCAAGATGAGGGAGATGGATGAAATGACCTCTAAAGTTCCAGTTTAAATCTATAATAATAAATAGCACTTATATAGTACTTTAATAATAAATAGCACATATGTAGTGCTTTAAGGTTTGCAAAGTGCTTTACAAATATTTTATTCTTGCAACTATTATTATCTCCATTTCACAGATGAGAAAACTGAGGCAGAGACAGACGTTAAGTGAATTGCTCAAGGTTGCATAGCTAATCAGAGTCTTAGGCTGAATTTGAATTCAGGTCTTCTAATTCCACATCTGGTGCTCTATCCACTGGGCTGTCTAGCTGCCTATAATCTAGGATCCTGGGCCTTCAGATCTTCTTTTCACTGTTATGCTACTTGCCTAGATTATTGCATCAGCCTCCTAATTATTATCACTACCTCATCCTTCACTATACCAGCCCATCCTACTGTTGTTAAAGTAATATTATTTAAGGAGAGAACTGACCATGTAACTCCCCTACTCAATTAACTTCAGTGTCTACCTTATTACCTCTAGGATAAAAGATAAACTTCCCTATTTAAATATAAAAACCCTACACAGCCTGATTCCAACTCACCTTTCCAGCCTCAGTAGACATTATTCCTTCTCCTATCCTCTAGAGCCATCCAAACCGCCTTGCTTTCTGTTCATCGCCCAGGATACTCCATCTCCCATTTTTCTGCCTATGTGTTGGACATCCTCCATATTGGAATATACTCTATCCTTACTTCCATCTCAAGAGTCTCCCTCTTTTGTTAGGATGCAACTCATAAGTACCATATTCTGCATGAATTTCCTGATCTTCCCAACAACTGGTGCCCTCTTTCCAAAACTACCTTGTAATTTAAGTGCTTTGCATATATTATTTATTTTTATTCATTTTATATTTGTGCTGCATCTGTTTTTATATGTACTTGTTATCTTCCCCATTAGAATTTAAGTTCTTTCCAAATAGGGATTATTTAATCCTTTGTACTTCTATCTCCAGTGCCTGGCACATAGTAAACACTTGATAAATAATTTTTGATTGATTTGATTGACATGGACTCCCCAGACCATCAGGGGACATAATCACTGGGCTTTAAGCCTAAGGTTTACTTTGTCATAAAATCATAGGGCTGGAAGGGACCATTTAGTCTGACCCCCTTATTTAACAGACAAGACAACTGAGCTGCAGAGAAATGAGATTGTTTGTCTATCTTAATGGGTGATGGAAAAGCTGAGACTAGAATTCAGACCCTCTGTCAATCCATCACACCATACTGCTTCTTATTGGGATTGAG